AACAACAAAACTTCAGACTATAAATGTGTAACCTTCACCTCCACTTAGACTTTCTGTGCATTGTGTACATTTTGTCCCTCAGGTTGCCTACTGGGACGTGTTTGAGGGTAAATCTGCCCTCAGACAACTTGAGGCCTCGCAGTCTGGTGCCATCAATGGCATGCATATCTCACAGGATGGCAAATACTTTGTGACAGGTATGGCACATTACTCATTTGCACTTCTTCTTCTTCCATAAATTCTCTTTGCTACTCATATATAGATAGCGATTTTATATTTGTCCCTGCTGCATTGCCCATTATGCTCCCGTTTAGATCAAAACCTATTTTATGCAAATATAGTTTTCATGTGTTTTATATAAAGACCGGTATTGCACAATAATTAGCAATATTTCCCTAGAGATTCTGGTTTCTTATGTTGTTCACCTTTTCATACCAGGTGGAGATGATAAGCTGGTGAAGGTGTGGGACTACATGTTAGGTGGAGTAACCCACATAGGGGTAGGTCATGGTGGCAGTATTACCAGTGTGAAAATCTGCTCCAACAGCCGCAACTTAGTCAGTACAAGTGCAGATGGAGCCATTCTTTGCTGGAAGTTCCCTCACCTTCCTTCCTCTTAACTGGAGATTTGGACACGGGAAGAAACACATACTTTTAGCCATCCAGACATTCTTTTTAAATTTTTCCAAAAATGTACCAAATGTTACTATTATATTGTTTTAGCAATATGGATTTACATTCTTACCAAAATAAATACATGTAACCTCATGAAGCAACAATTGCTGTATAAGATGTTTTTGCTCACTGATGCATAGTAATGTAGTGGATTTTTTTTGCATGGTTTTGTTGATTTTTAAATGGGTAATATTTGTCCATCAATTTAAAAAAAAAAAAAAGGTGAATTAAAGCATTAATAAATCCTTTCTCTTTTTTTGCTCTTTTGAAATTCTATTAAAAATCAAAATCTTAATTTTGAAAAGTATTCAGAGCCTTTGCAGTGACAGATTTTTGAGCCTCGAGATGTGTAGAATGTAATAGCCACACATCAGTTGTTAATCATTTTAAGCTACATGTCCTGGTGTAAACACACATCGAGAGTTCACAATGTTATTGCGAATAGGGCAAGAGGATGAATCAGTTTCTAAATATGGCTTCAATGTCTGTGAAATACAAAAAGTGAAATACACAAAACATCTGAGTGCTAGAGTTTACCAAACTGAGTTATTGAACAAAAAGTGCCTTGGTCAAGAATGTGACTGTCACCTACCAGAAGGATGACCTTCTGGTAGGTGACCGGCCAGCCAGTCAGCCAGCCAGTCGGCTGGTTATTACTATCACTAGAGTGAAGCATGGGGATGGCAGCATCATGGTACTGGGGTGTCCCTCAGGGGGAGACTGGTCTGGTCTTAAAGAAAAAAAGTGTGCCATGAAATGGGGAAAACTACTTTTATAGTGAAAATAGTTATTGTTGCTTATATAGCAAAATTTCTGGTGCTATTTTTTATTTCTTGTAGATTAATTTAAAAATTTCATTTACAATATAAAATGCAAGAGTGAGGTAGTCTGAATACATTCTTTATATAAAAGTGAAAAGATCACAGTCCCTTAAATGGTACTGCTTTGCAGGAGCAACAATTTATATTAATTTGAAATTTTACTTCAAGGAATAACAACATAGTTTTTGCAAATTGTTGGCATTACGCTTCTTTATACTTACTGAAAAGCAGTTAATGGAATTCTACAGACTCGTGAAATCAAAATATGGAACACAATGCGACATTATGTAGTTTATGAAATACACATTTCACTCAAAATGTAATTCATCTATCTGCTACTGCCACAAAGTGCAGGCCTAGATATTTGGGGACTGCTGTCCCCTAATGTAATAAGGTTTGTTCCCTGAGGGGTTATGGTAAAAGAGTGGTGCAATGTACAATTCTAATTCACTACTTCCTGCAAAAAAGAAAAAAAAACAACATTGTTATATAAACCATCCATCGATCTGTCCAATTTCTACCTCTTATCGAATTCAGGGGGACTGGGGCCTATCCCAACTGTCATGAGACAAGAGGTGGTGTAAACCAGGACAGGTTACCAGTCTGTGGCAGGTAATTTAAAACAAGTCAGCAAAAAAATAAATAAATAAAATCCCTGCTCATTAAGCTTGGGCATAATTCCTCTCACTGTCGTTTAGCACAATGATAATGAACAGAGGATTGCTGTAAAACACGGGTCATCTTCATAACACACAGACACAGAATGACACGGTTTGCCTCGGAATTTGTTAATTTGTTATTCTCATGTAACATGTGTTCATTTTTCTAACAATGCTCAAGAGCATCGGGGAAATTATGGGAATATTGGATGGAGACCTGACTATCTCTTTTAATAAATCAGAACATCTGGTCCACCAAATTCAATCTTTAGTACTGGTGAGCTGTGAAATTAAGCTTCAGATGAGAATCTGAATATTGCACAAAAGATGCTGGATTCCCATTGAAAAGCAGAATTGCATGTAATGTATCTGGCAAAAACAATCTTAACATACATTTTACTAACGTTGTCGAGCTTTCATGATGTATGAGCAGCAACATTAATGTGCATGCAGACAGTTGCCAGACTTGGCTACACCTGTCTGCAAGTGACAATGTCTTAGGTATTTGATTAGCAGGATGAAGAAAATGTTGACCATGTATGCATGGCAATATGAAGGGTAGATGTCAGTATCTATACTTTGATAACCTTGTTTTTTATACACTCACTGGCCACTACTAATACAATAGTAGTATCCCCCCTTTTGGATCCCCTTTGCCTTCAGAACCGCCATAACTTAACTCATGCTTAACTCAGATTTGTTGTTTTGTTGGAAACATTCCTCAGAGGTTTTGGTCCATATTGACATGATAGGATCACACAATTTCTGTAGATTTGTTAGCTGCAAATCAGTTGTGAGTCTTCTGTTCCACTCCCAAAGCTGCTCTATTAGATTGAAACCCTGTAAAATCATTGTCATGTTCAAGAAACCAGATTCAGGTAAACTTAGTTTTTATGAAATGGTCCATGTGATAAGCAGGAGAAAATGGGTGGATGGGATGAACATGACATATCACCCAGCTGCCTTCTATTGTCCAAATTTGGTGAACCTGTGTGAACTGTAGCATTGGTTTTCTGCCTGTTTCTTAGCTAATAGGAGTGGCACAGGGTATGGTCTTCTGCTACAGCAGCCCATTCTATTCTAATATTCTCTGGATTGCTGTGCAGGAAGGTCCCAATAGATCACATGTTCCTGAAATAGTTTTACCAGCCTGTCTGGCAACAATAATCATGCGACATTTAAAGTCACTTAAATCACCCTTCTTTCCCATTCTGATGCTCAGTTCAAACCATCACTGGTCATTTTGACCATGTCTGCATTCCTAAATCCACTGGGTTGGTATCATAATTGGTTGATTAGACATGCTATTGGCTTTCACAAATAGGTGTCTGTCAGAGCAAATAGCACAGGTGTACCAGGTCTACCTATGTGGACAGGCTCTTCAGCAGAAATAGCAATTTCTGAATGTGTGTGTGTGTGAGAAGTGCTTGGATGAATGGGTGAATGAGGCATGTTGTTTAAAGCACTTTGAATGCTCAAGCAGACTGGAAAATGCTCATTAAGAAATAGCCCATTTACCATTATACTGGAAACTTATTTTTTAGTTGTTCTCTGAGCAGTTTATAAGTAGTCTATAATTTAGTTTGGTATTGTGGATGGTGCTGCTTTCTCTGACACCCTCAGCAGATGTTTTGGCAGGTGCTGTTAGAACTGGTCCTACAGGGGGCAGATACACACTGCTGTACCTGTCACCTATTAAAGACGACAACTTCCTTGTTCAGAGTGAAATAAAGTAGATATGCATAGTTGAATTGCCTGTCATCCACCAGTTGCGAATGACTTAACCATAAACATATTTGTGTTGATAGCCTACAGTCTAATTCAGGTTAATTAAATTCTTGCCTGTGAGGCGGGCAGTTAAACAGGATCCTTGGCAATTCAACGAGGCCCTACAGACAGGAGAAGAGGGAAGAACAAGGGTGGTGAGAGAGAGAGTCAAAGACCGCCAGGCGCACGATCCAGCGCTGAGAGCCATCGACGAGGAAGTATAAATGAACCTGCGATGTGGAAGAAGGAGAGCCGCTCGTCTCTGTAGCTCCTGCAGAGATAGATCGTCACCCGACAAAACGCGCGCACCGGCGATAGCGAGATGTCGATGGGATAATATCAGCAATAATGTGCCTTATTGGCTTCGCGGCAGTGAGGTTTGTGGAGAGAAGTGAGACGGGGGAGGAGGAGGGGTAGACAGCCTGGCAGACAGGTGCGCGTTGATAGTCTGTTTCATTTTCTCTCGGTCCGTTTAAGTGATAGAGCCATGGATACCCGTAAGGAAAGCAAGGTAAGAAGACAACCCATGAAACCCAAAACGACGAAGCCAAAGGAGAAGAAATACAAATCTGGTAGGTTTACTAGACGGAAATCGCTTCGATCTTTTGGGAATTTCATGGGAAGGATCCTTAAAACTTTGGGCACTTTAGCGCACTTTGGCGACGCGGAACAGCAGGACGCAGAAGACGACGACGGCGGTTTCGGGCAAAGCGCGTCGGGTGGTTTTAAAGATAACTGTTCGCAGATCTCCAGGGAAGGAACCGTAAAGAAGAGCTCCACGGTTTCGTCCATTCACGGCTCGGTGAAAGACAGGCTGTCGTGGTGCTACGGCGACAAGACCCCGGGAGTGCTGGGACTGAAGAACCACGGCAACACCTGTTTCATGAACGCCGTGGTTCAGTGCCTCAGCAACACGGACCTCCTCGCCGAATACCTCGGGTTGGAGCAGTATAAGTCGGATATTTGCCTCCAGAGGGTGAACGGGGAGTTGAGAGGAGCGGAGTCGCAGACCGCCAGGGGAGAGGTGACAGAGCAGCTGGCGTCGCTGGTTCGAGCGCTTTGGACGCTGGAGTACACGCCGCAGCTGTCTGTGGAGTTCAAGGTAAGGATGGAGACGATTCACCTGTACTGAACACGCTTAGGCTTCCCCCATTAATGAGACCTGGCGTGATTTTTCTGTTTTCTATAGAGTTGTTCTCAAACAGGTATTCCGGTGTCAACTAGAAACAAATACTCTCCACCCGGTGGGCATGTTATTCATCTTGATGGGTTAAACTAATTGCAAGTGGCCCCGAAACCCAAAGGTCTGCTGCTAACTGTGCCAGTGTTGTTGCTGCTATTTGATTAACTGCTCACTGGCAGCGAAAGTGCTCAAACTCAAGCACAATGAAACCACAATTACAGGACCTTAGGGCGTTTTAAATCAAATTACTACACTTAACTAGAAGCCACATAGTTTTCTCCTATTGCACTGACGGTATTACTGGGCCAAATCAGTGCCGATTGATCGTGCTGCACTCAGCTGAGGGAGACAAGGTACAGAGATATAACACTGAAAGCTAGAAGAGGATCAGCAGGGGCCCTGATTACTCACTCCCGTGAAGTTTGTGCCACAGGCTCCCCTTGTAGGTCACCTCGGCCATGAAGAAAGAGATCATATTTATAGGCTAAACTTTTTATTCACATTCATCTCTTACTTTCTTCACATTTAGTGCCACAAGCTGCATGTCATACCAAGTTGCCTCCCAAAAAGCGACAAACCTTTTAGAAGTTGCCAAAAAAAATGTCTCGATTGATTATAATAAAGAACACAGAGTCATAAAGATACTTACACAACAAACTCTTTGTAAATTATGTTGACTACAGTCCAGTCCATTTATCAATATAAGCTAAAGACATGAAAAAAAAATCATGAGCACAATTAAGAAAGGAGGGTAAATATTTGGATAAAAATTTAAAGGTGTGAGCTTGAATATGGTCAGAGGTCAGTGGTAAACCTTTCTGTCCCAGGAAGTAAAAATAAAACAACCTCAAGACCTCATGGTTTCGACATTTTATGATATTGTTTATTGAAGTAGTTGCAGTTCGGTAACCATGTGGTTACTGATTACACGTATGCTGTGTTATCTCTGCTTGGCTTACCTGTTCCTACACTTCAGGTGGTTTGCCTGCATTCCCAGAGTTGTGAGAGAAGACACGCGGTCTTGACTCACAAACACAAAGTGTTCAATGCAGAGGATGGTTCATCAGGGGCTGCTTCATAACTGAAGCTTTACCTCTTCAATTTAAGGATGTTCAAAACAACAAGTGATCAAACACTTACACACAAGAGGCTTCTTGCTCCTGTTACTCATTGCAGTTGTAACTGGGAGCTGTAGAGGCTTAGACTTCTCTCAGGAGTGGTTGGATGGTAGCCAATCAGCGGGATTACTTAGGAAAACAAAAAACAAAAAACAAAAAAAACTGCTCTGATATATCAGTAGCACAGGGAAGCTATGAGTGATTAGGTATGTAATACACAGACACATACAGACGCACACACATGTGATCACACAGGCACACATTACTATTACTATTCCTAATTATTTTATTTAATCCTTTATTATTATTATTATTAGCAGTAATTTAAGTCACATGTATTATTCATTTCTAATTGGTTTAATGCTGCTCTTGTTTTAATTAATTGTTTTATATCTTTTATATCTATATATTTTATCATGGTTTTAATCACGTGCATTATTTTTGTGGTGTTTTAATCACAATGCTTAACGATTGTGTTTCATATTTTAGCTTTACGCTATTTTCTGCCTGCAGTCTCTGTGGTTGCTCACATGTAATGCTGCTCATTGCACTTCCACCTTGAATTAAATCTGCTTTATAAGGAATGTTCTACTAGCTTACTTGGGTGTGAGCATGCTGAAGCTGTGAGAAAAGGTCGTGACTCAAGTAGAAGAAAAACTTGATGGTGTTTCAGTCCAAAAAATATAAAGGGTAGCTGGTTATGATATTATTACTGAAGAGCGTCTGCATGAATGGGAGATCAACTCCTGCTTTGGGAAACTAATGTAGCCTGAGCCTTTTAAAACACTCAAAAGTCTGATATGTGAAGATAGTATGCACAACATCATAAAGATCATTTGGATCTAGATAATAGGCCGTGCATAAAGAAATTCGTACAGTAAACACTTAATATATTGATCTCTATTGAACTGACTCTTTATGGAGTTTATGTGCTCCCTCTGATACTACGGCTTCCACACAGTCTAAAGACTTGTTAGGTTAATTGTTGTAGATTGTAGGTGTAGATGAGAAACACATGGTTGTGTGCTCTGTGTGTGTTAGCCTTCCCGCATGGAAAAGATATATAAAAATCTTATAAAGTTTGTATCTGTCTTGTGTGAAACTTGTATGAAAAGCAGCAAGAGTGAAAACAGATATAAGATCCCTTGAAAAATTATATAAATGAAACTTGTATGTTTCATGAGTAAATCATATAAGCCTTATATGATTCACTATATGAAGTAGGCCACATCTGAAGTCTTTCATAAGTTTTTTCTATTTCTTTTCCATATGGGTTGTGTTGGACTGGTTACCTATCTAGGATGTAAGACGAGTGGAATAGACCCCAGGTTGGGTAAGCGGGGAGAAAATAGAAGGATGCTACAGTGTGCACAGCATGATGATTAAATCCTCATATGAATATTAACTGTTAATGTCAGAATGTGCTTTGAAAGTGTTTTTTTGTAATTACTCTCATGGTTGCCTGTAATAAAAAAAAAAAGGAAAACAAATCTTTCACACACATTTCCTTTCCTTGGGCCATTGCCTTGACACAATGATTTGTACGGGTCCGCCTATCCCAGAGTGAAGCAGGAGAGAGGATGTTTACTGTAGCGAGTGCATTTGGCCTGGAAAAGAGGATCCCCCCTGCTGAGCTGCCTCCAGTGGTGTGCACTCAGAGGGTGAGCGAATGAAGGAGGCAGAGACACTGCAGCCAAACTAAAGTAACGTCCTTGTGATCCTCACAAGACCCCTTCGTCTGTAATTAGAGAAAGGAACAGACAGCCTTGACATGTGCCGGTTATTGACAAATTTGCTCGCATTTAAAGAGAATCACTGGCTTGTAATGAAGTGGGTTAAAAAAGGAAATTTATATCCGAGATAAAGGCTATCGCAACGCTTTTTATTACTCTACTTTGTTTGAGACCGGCTTTAATGAATGAGCGGAAATTAGAAGTCACAGAGGCTCAGCTCAGAATACACCAGAATAACGTCAGGCTTTTAGAAAAATAGTTAAGTCAGTGATTATATGTCAGGTCTATCACCTTGAAGAGTTATGCAGAGCTGTGACACAAGACGTTTTTCGATAATGAGTTAAACTTAAAGTGGCTGCTATCATCCGCCAAACCTTGAGAATTATCACAAAACCTCAGCACATAAAGTGCTTGATCTGAATCAGAGGCAGATTCAGATCAAGTCTGTCAGAATGTGTGGAAGTGTCTGATAAGCTGATGGAGAGCAGGTATAGCTACCAGACTGGCAACACCTCATACAAAGGTTTCAGTTGACATTCTAGGTCAATTTACATTCTATATGTAGCAAATGGGCCTCATCCAAGCATGCAATCCAAAGAAGTGATAGCATATCAAGTGAAATCGGGGCTACTTTTCAAAAATCTGAATAAAGACTTGCTTTGAAATTTCTGCTTCCCCATTGGTGAGCCTTGGCCATTAAACTTCAACACCACTATTGTTCGATATGCTCGTTATATGTTCACAGAATTCCTTCAGAGCTTATTTAATGTAGCCCACCTGCTCATAATATTCTCATAATAACCA